TGCGAACCCTGCCACTGGGACCTTCGGTGGAGCTCCCTTATGGGCCCACGATCCTCGTGAGGGGTGTGCCGAAATGGCCCGAGGCTGCCATGCGAACCCTGCCACTGGAGCCTTCGGTGGAGCTCCCTATGGGGCCACGATCCTCGTGAGGGGTGTGCCGAAATGGCCCGAGGCCGCCATGCGAACCCTGCCACTGGGCCTTCGGTGGAGCTCCCTATGGGGAGCTCAGCTCGTGGTCCTACAAGGTCCGCTAATGGCCCTGGCAGCCATGCTAGCGGTCCCACTGGCGTTTCGGTGGAGCTCCTTTACGTGGCCACGATCCTCGGTGAGGGGTTTCTTATGTGCCGAAAGGCCGAGGTCCGCCATTGCGAACGCTGCCACGGGGCTTCGGTAGGTGGAGCTCACCTTGGGGCCACGATAAAAACGATTGGGGGTGAAACGCAGGGGAGGAGGGAGGGGGAGGAGGAGGAGAACGAGGAGAACGCGGGGCGACGTCTCTTCAAAACGAGGACCCAACACCACAGGATGGTTGGGAAAAAGAAGGGCCGACCAGACGGAGGGAGGAAGAAAAGGAGGAGGAGGAGGAGGAGGAGGAGGAGGAGGGAGGAGGAGGAGGAGAAGGAGGAGGGCCCGTCAGTTGCTGTGGCTGCGGAGCCTCTCCTGGCTCGGGGGGGGTTGGAACCCCTCCCCTCCCCCGGGGCTGCCTCTGGTCATCGTCGCTGCGTCCCCGCCGTCGGCGCTGCTGGCGGCTGCCAGCGCCGGCGCTGGCTCCTGGGCGGGTGGGGGGTTTTGAACCCTCCCCCCTTGGGAGAGGGGGGGGAAGGTTCGGAAGGGGCGGAGGTTAGGGGAGGGGAGTCCACCTGGTTCTGATCGACGGCGCCGAGTGTTGGGGGGGGGCCCAACCCCCCGGTTCGAAACGCGCCGCCGAATGTTCCCAAGGCAAGCGCCCATGAAACGCGCTCTCTCGTTGATGTCCAGCGAATGTCGGCGACCGACTCCTAGAGGCAAGCTGTTGGTGGCGCGTTTCCGATGTGAGAAGAACGCCTCCCTCCGCTGCCCCGGATCTGGAAGGATACATGCGTCGCGGCTGGCCCAGGTTCGCGATAACTTGCCATCGCTCGGACGTGTGCATTTTTCCTTCGGCGAGGACCGTCGAGAAGCATCGTTGATCATATGGCGAAAAAACCACGCAAGAAACCGACAAAAGCACAGGGAATGGACGTCCGAGCGATGGCGAGAGAAATGGCTCTGGCTGGCCCGGGGCAGCACTGACCCAGGTCAGACCGCCCCCGAGTTCCGAGGCCGGACTCCACGGGCCCAGGCTTGCGAAAAAACAGCCGTCTCGACCTTGGAGAGCCGCCGATCGTGCGGGCCCACTGGAGCTCTCCAGAGATCCCCAGACGCATCCAGGAGGCTCTTGCGAGGCTCAAGCAAAGCTAACGTAAGCACTTGTGTGCAAGAACCTCGATCGGAAAGCAGCTTTGACAGGTGATGATAGCATTTCCCCCGTACCTCGAGCTGCAGGAAAGTTGCAGAGCTGGTAATCAGCTCTTTTCGAACGAAGGATGTCCAATGCACATGGCTGCATGGACGAGGGCGCCGAGATCGGTTCATTACCAGAGTCATACTCGTCTCGATCTGGTCGAGCCGCCGGATGCCCCGGATCGCCCGAGGACTTGCGCGCCGCCGCCTCCGAGGAGTCAGCGCCCGAGGACCCGCACGCTGGGGACGCTGCGGAGGGCCAGCTCGAGGCCACCGAGCTTGTGCTCGACCCGAGCGCCAGGCCCCGCCGGTCTATGCGGCTCGCGGGCGGCCTGGTCGTCAAGCAGGCCGACCCCGAGGAGGCGAGGCCGTGGTGTCGCAAAGCTGGCGACGGCGACGACGGCGCCACCGGCTGCGACGGCGGCGGCGCTGGCGTCGATCGCGGCGTCGAGGCGAGGCTGGGACAGCTCGACCCGCCTCCCCGCCTCCGCTTCCTCCGCCCGCCCGCCTCGGCAGCTCCCCCTCGTTTGGTCTCTGGGCAGCCTGGAACGTGCGCGCGCGGGGAGAGACACATGCATGGCGGAGGCACATGGAGAAGGACGATTCGCGGGCGGGCCCTCCCAAAGAGGACCACGGTGCTGTAGCAGAGCCCCCTGCCTCACCCGAGACAGAGCTCAGAGGGGGGGGGCCGGACTTGTGGCTCAGGCCGGCCACAGACGCTTCCAGGGTCAATGGGCCGTCCAATTGACCAGCTGGAGCGTCAGCGTGGTGCGGCCCCCCCGTCCTCCTCTCGGAAGTCGGCCCCCGGACCCCTCCCCCTGGGACTCGCCCGCTGGCCAGAGCTTCTGGGCAAGTCCGCGGCGACGAGGGCGCATCCCAGAGGCCCAGGGAGGGCGAGAACCGCGCAGGGGTCTCAACAGTCGTATTCAAACCCATTCAGACTTAGACACTCACTTGTTATATTCATACTCATACCTGTACGACCACCCTTCGGGTGATAATAAGGTTGTGGGGGGGGAGAGGGGGGGAACCAACATCTGACTCAATCGATCTCACCATCGATCTCACTCAACTGGACACCACGGGACACTTGGCGATCTCACTATCGATCTCAATATCGATCTCACTCAACGGGACACCACGGGACACCGCGGGACACCTCTCGATCTCACTATCGGTCTCACTATCGATCTCACGATCGATCTCACTCAACGGGACACCTCGGGACACCACATCGATCTCACTATCGATCTCACTCCACGGGACACCACGGGACACCTGTCGATCTCACTATCGGTTTCACTATCGATCGCACTTTTTGGGACACCACGGGACACCTCGGGGCACCACATCGATCGCAGTATCGACCTCACTACCGATCTCCACTATCGATCTCACTCAACTGGACACCACGGGACACCTGTCGATCTCACTATCGATCTCACTATCGATCTCATTTTTTGGGACACCTCGGGGCACCACATCGATCTCACTAGCGATCTCACTCACCGGGACACCACGGGACACCACGGGACACCGCGGGACACCGCGAGCCACCGCCGGACGGACGGACGGACGGGCGGGCGGGGGAGAATCATTTGTCTTGACTTCGCCCTAGCAACGGCGGACACCACGGGACACCACGGGACACCGCGGAACACTTGGTGGCCGCCGCCGGACGGGCGGGAGGGGGAGAATCATTTGTCTTGACTTCGCCCTTGCAACGGCGGACACCACGGGACACCACGGGACACCGCGGAACACCTGGTGGCCACCGCCGGACGGGCGGGACAGGGAGAATCATTTGTCTTGACTTCGCCCTAGCCGCGGCGGGTTCATTCCTCTCGCGCGCCCACACAGCTTCGCCTCGCCCGAACGCACGACACGAACGAAACGAAACGATTTCCCGGTTGGGGGTTTCCGTTCCATTGTGATCTCACCCCCCTACCTCCGATTCAATCACACCCAAACTTACTCACACTCAGACTCACTGTCTCTCAGACTCACTCAGACTCAGACTTACGCAACGCATTATCAGACCTACTCGTACTCGGACTCTCCTCATACTTAGACCCACTGACATTCATACTCAACCATACCCAGGTTCATTCACATTCAGACTCACTCACACTCAGAGCACTCATGCTCAGATTCACGCAGATTTCTTCCCTTTGGTGGTCCAATGCCCCCTCGCTCTTCCACTTGTGCTTCCCTCATCTCTCCTGGAAGATGCCCACTGAAGTCACTGAAGTCGTCGCTGTCGCCGTCGTCGTTGTCGCGCCCGTCGTCCACGCCGACTCGCTCTCACACCCCGATGCTCACAGACAGAGCCCGTCAGCGAGAAGCGGCAAGAGCATGAGATGCACAGATGGGGAGCTCCACGCAGCGAGTATAGGTCCTTGTGTTGGAGTATGGTTGACTATTTGTCCTGTTCTTCGACAACCCGCCTGTAGGAGGATGTGCCCGATCTGCGATCTGCGCCCGCTCGCCCGCGCCCCCCGCGGCGAGGCCCACGGGCCGCCGGCGCACGAGCCGCCGGCGGCAGCCGCGGCGGGCGCCCGGCCCCGCCAGCCGCGGTCGCTGCGGCCCGCGGGCGACGCGCCGGGCAGGCAGGGCGAGCCGGCGGAGGCGAGGCCTCAGAGGAGGGAAAGGCACCCACAGCTCAGGAGCGACAGGAGGACTTACGGTAGGTTTGCGTCGTGTCGACCAGCGGCGACCCCAGCGTGGGCGTTCAAGGTTGAACGCCGCTGGCGACCCAGAATCCTTCGATGTGGAACGATTTGGACGTTTCGGAAACGGCCGATCGTTCAAGGTTGAACGATCCCCGCGGTATCAGGGACCAACGCCGGGGTCGACACGACACGAACCTACCGTACACGTACATGAATCCACGTTGTTATCGAGAGCGCGCAGTGCGCGAAGCGTTCGTATCACGCGGCCGGTCTCGCGGATGGGGGAGCCGTGTTCCTGTGCGTGGGTGGGCGCGTACGTCCATGGTGGTCTCCCTGATACCGCTACCCTTCCCTCGTTTTCCCCCTCTCGGAGCCTCCTGGGAGCCCCTCGTCGCCACCGCTGGATTCGCCTCGACATCCTGTACCCATACCGCTACCCTTCCCTCATTTTCCCCCTCTCTCTGGGCCTCCTGTGAGGCCCTCGTCGCCACCGCTGGAGTCGCTTCGAAATCCTGTACCCATACCGCTACCCTTCCCTCGTTTTCCCCCTCTCTCTGGGCCTCCTGTGAGGCCCTCGTCGCCACCGCTGGAGTCGCCTCGATATCCTGGTCAGAAGGCGCCCCGGGAGAGGTCCGTGGAGTAGCGGTACGGGTACCTTCCGGTCTCTCCAGCCATCGTGGCGCAACGGCGGCGGCGGCGACGACGATGGCGGCGGCTATCATGCTACTCCCCCCCGACCCTCCCGACCCAGACTCCTCCTCGGCAACCTCACCCTCCTTCTCACCCTAATCCCTCCGCATGCAAAAGCAACTTCCTCTTCTTGCTTCATCATTTCCCTTTTCCTCCTCTTCCTCCTCCTCCTCCTCATCATCGTCATCATCATCAGCAGCAGCATCATCAGCATCAGCATCAGCATCAGCATCAGCATCAGCATCAGCATCAGCATCAGCATCAGCATCATCATCATCATCATCATCATCATCAGCATCATCATCATCATCATCATCATCATCATCATCATCATCACCATCATCATCATCATTAGCATTAGCATTAGCATCATCATCCTCATTCTCATCCTCATCCTCATCCTCCTCCTCCTCCTCGATCTCCTCCGCGGCCAGACTCACCCGCAAGGATCTTCAGCGGCTTCCGATTGGGAGCGGCTCCGAGGAAGCCCGCGGCGGCAGACGCGTCACGGCCCGTGCAATCGCCAGAGCAATCTGGCGGCAGGACGAGGCCCTGGCCCAGACCCTTACTGATACTGCCGAGTTTGGGGGCACCACTCGGAGGCCGTATTGAACCAATCGGTCCACCTCCACGCACAATTGCACGACCACGCGCAGAGTCTTGCGGCCCAGCGCGCGGAGGACGCAGCCAGGCTCCGCCCAGGAGGTGCTGGCCCACCGGCAACGCAGATGCGGAAGCTGCGCAGTGCGGCCTGCTGGCGCGCGCAGCCGTATCGCCGGCGCCTACACCTCTCCGACATCCGCGTCGACCGCCCTGGCCCTTAGTCTGGACGCCCGAAATGGGTACGGCAAGAATGGGTGCAATGCCCAACAGCAGTTCCTGTTCATTTTGAGCAGGATTCGCTGTCCACGCCGCCGCGGCCTGTGTCCATTCGAGACAGAAGGCCGCCTGCCCAACAGCGGCCGCCGTTGGTTTGGGAACACATTCGTTGTTGAGCAGTGTACGCCTGTTTTTCCGCAGTGTCGGGCGTCCAAACTCAGGCTCAGACACTGCGCGGTGACGCCCCAGTGCGCGCGGAGCTTCTCCGCCACTGGGGCCCCGCCCCTCGCGGCAGAGCCGTCGATGAGGAGAGGATCGAACCACACCCTGCGGAGCACGCGCCCCGTCCCCCGAGCTCGAGGCCTCGAGGCCCCGCGCTTGCCCACGCCGTCGTTGAAGGCGGTGGCGCGTGCCCTTCGTCGGGCAGAGCCTTCGGCGCCCCGGCCCCGGGCCGCCTGCCTGCCGCGGCGTGGCGGCGAGGCGAGCGGCTGCAGCACGAGGAGGAGGAGGAGTAGGAGGAGGAGGAGGAAGGGGGGAGGAGGAGGAGGAGAAGCAGGAGGAGGAGGAGGAGGGAAGAAGGAGGAGCAGGAGGAGGGAGGAGGAGGGAGGAGGAGGAGGAGGAGGAGGAGGCAGAGGAGGAGAAAGGAGGGGGAGGAGGAGGAGGAGGAGGAGGAGGAGGAGGAGGAGGAGGAGGAGGACGAGGAGGAAAGAGGAGGAGGAGGAGGAGGAGGCGGAGGAGGAGGGAGAGGAGGAGAAGGAGGGGGAGGAGGAGGAGGAGGAGGAGGAGGAGGAGGAGGAGGAGGAGGAGCAGGAGGAGGAGGAGGGGGAGGAGGAGGGGGAGGAGGTGCCCCCCTCGGGTCACGGGTGGACCTCCCTGCGGGGCGGCCGCCGTGGGGCCGCAACGTCTCGGACCTCGCCCCATGCGCCCAAGGGTATTAAGTCGGGCGTGTCCCTCTACACGCTGAATGCTCAAAATAGTTCCAACAAAATAAGTCAGGGGACGATGTTTGCCTGATTTGATGATTGTTGTGCACGTTTTGGCTGTCCCCCATTTTCTTCCAAAATCCGCCTACAGGAGGACATGCCCGACCTAAGCCCAAGGGCGACGAGCCCGCCGACGCAGTCGACGTTGTCAGAGGGGCTGACAGGATGCGGCCGTGGACGCAGAACAGCACAGATGCCAAGGCCGCTGCCGCCGTCCACGACGAGATGGCCGCAGTTATAGCGGAGATAGAGCGCACCCTGTCCAGCACGGGCTCACACGCAGGAGGGATCTCCTGAAGCGCCTTGTCTCGCACGACGCTCACAGCAGGGCTGCCAGCCGTCACTGTATTCGTGCCGCTCGATTTCAAGGCAGCGTTTCCGTCGCTGCCCCAGCAGTTTCTCCGCCGAGTGCTCCTGAGGCATACTGTCCCTGACGGCCACATGGCATTCATGAATGCCGTCTGCGCTTCCTCCCTGGCTCACCTCAAAGTTGGCCCACTCCGTGCCCCCCATGCTCTTTGTGACCTCCGAAGTTGCCCAGGGTCGCCCCCATCTTTGGTACCTTCTGGGCCTTCGCCACGGCCCGATTCGTGAGGCACCTGGAGAGGCAGACTGCCCAGATCCAGCACTTCCTGAGCACAACGTCCGCCACGATGACGGCCGTCATGCATGACGGCGTGCGGCCGCTAAGTGGCGCCTGCACCGACGATGTGGGATCCAACCTCCCCTCCGCACGTGATCTCCCCCTCCTCGTCCCGCCATTCGTTGTGGCTGAGGTCGCCACTCTTGACCTTCAGCCTGCCAAGTGCGTGATCGTCCCATTGGGGCAGCGTTTCACAGAAGCCAATGCCCGTCAGCTGCGCCAGCGTCTCCAGACCTTGGTCCCGCTTTGGGGCGCGTTCAAGACAGCCGGCTGCGCCCCCTATCTGAGAATTCTGGTCGGCCTCGAAGGTGATTTGGATCACCAGTGGAATGAGGCGACGCGGACATGAAAGACTAGGACCCGCAAGACGTCCTTCACCAGGGCTCCCGCAGAGGCCAGGTGTAAGATATATATATATATATATATATATATATTAGCATTGGGATGTTGTCGGCCACTACCTCTCCCAACTCTTCCCCCTCCCCGCTGCCGTGCTCTCTGCTGAGCGCCACGTCCTCCACTGCCTCCTGCGTCTCTCTACTAGCTCCTCCTCGTTAGCCGAACTTCTGAGCATCGGAGCATGGCTCCCCCCTGCCACCCCCTCCCCGCTACGCACGGCCGCCGCTGCGGCGGCCTGGCGGACAGCGCGCCACACTCTGGGTGAAGGGCGGCACTCACGCAGCTACAAGGACATGCTCGGATGCATGTGCTTCTTGAGGATTTCGTTTAGGGCATGCCCTCCCCTGCGTGGTGGAGGTACAGGGCCAGCATTGCAGAATACGGCCAACCCGCATGGTAAGGATGGGCAACCTTCCCAAGGGTACCCTTGCATCCTTGCCCCTTCGGCCCGTCCTTAGCGACTCTCGCTGGCCAGCCTAGTTCGAAGAACGCTGACGTGGCCCTCCAAGTCCCTTGCATCCTTACCGCGAATCCTTACGATACGGGCCGACTGTACTTTGCCTCTCTGTCCTCCGACCCCCCCCCCCAACGGGTATCCCCCGGCACACCCGGCAAGACATTGCGGCGGCGGCCAACGCGTGGAGCTCCAAGCTGCCGAGGTGGACGACGGCCGCCCCCTGCCCACAGCGAGTGTGCGCACGGTCGCGTCGGTTCTTGTTTTGCTTCCTCAGGCCCACGCCCACGCTCACGCCCAAGCCCACACCCACAACCACGCCCACACCCGCGCCCATTCCCACACCCACGCCCACGTCCACGCCCACGCCCACACCCACGCCCAGGCCCACACCCACGCCCAGGCCCACGCCCACGCCAACGCTCACACGCACGCCCACACCCGCGCCCACGCCCACGCCCACACCCACGCCCACGCACACGCCCGCGCCCACGCCCACGACCACGCCGCCCACGCCAACGCCCACGCCCACGCCCACGCCCACGCCCGCGCCCACGCCCACACTCACGCCCGCGCCCAGGCCCACGCCCATGCATGCCCACGCCCACGCCGGCGCCGGCGCATGCCCGGCGGGGGGGAGGGGAGGGGTCGAATCCCCCCCCCTCCTAAGAGCCCACAGAACGCGCTCTTTCAAACATGAGCAGCCTCATTATCATAACTTGCATCGCCAGCATCATCATCATCATCATCATCATCATCATCATCATCATCATCATCATCATCATCATCATCAGCAGCAGCATCAGCATCATCATCATCATAATCATCATCAGCAGCATCATTAGCAGCAGCATCATCACCATCGTCATCATCATCACTATCATCAGCATCATCATCATCATCATCATCATCATCATCATCATCATCATCATCATCATCATCATCATCATCATTAGCATCCTCATCA